ATGTTTATCATGGCTTAGCTGATTCTGAATAGTTTTCTCAAAATTATAATCTTTTGACATTTGATTTGTGAATGAATGCTCAAAGGCAAGACATCAAAACTGTAACCACTTGCTACTAAACTGAACCAGTCTGATCCTAAATGAGTAAGGCTCTAGTTATCAAACACTCTCTCCCTGTGAACTCCCATGGACAGGGAACACGGATGTTCATTTTAGACGGAGTTCTCTTTAGTGAATCTTGGTATTCTGTTTTGCTTTTTACAATGTATTATTGCAAAGAAGCACACAAAGATAAATAATTCATTTTCTTAAAAAACAGCTCCTTGTAGTCAGGAACTCTAAGGACAAAGACAGAAATAACTTAAGAGACAAGAGCATGCATTCCAGGAAACTAGGAGACAATAATGTTAACTGGCAACTTTTCTAATCCCATACTACCTTCCTCTGTTGTTTTTGGTGTTAAGTACATGTTCCACCACTGAGATACATACCCACCATCTCATAACCCTTTTCAAATGAAATTACAATCATTTTCACTTAACAAAGTTAAAAGATAAAATAAATGAATTTTTTTTTTTTTTTTTTTTTTTTTGGTTTTTCGAGACAGGGTTTCTCTGTGTAGCTTTGCGCCTTTCCTGGAACTCACTTGGTAGCCCAGGCTGGCCTCGAACTCACAGAGATCCGCCTGGCTCTGCCTCCCAAGTGCTGGGATTAAAGGCGTGCGCCACCACCGCCCGGCATAAATGAATTTTTTTAAAAAACTGGTATTCTGGTCTTTTGTCTTTGCCTCAAAAAAATTTTTTTAAAAAATGAAATCATTAGAACAAATCTATGCAACATCAACTAAAGTTTTACCTGAAAAGTCTATGAACTTAAGAGGAAAAATACATCATAAAGATAAAGATAGAACAGGACCTGGTGACATATGACTGCAATCCCAATCCCAGCACTCACAAGTCTGATGTGAGGATCACAGCAAATTTGAGGCCAGCCCGGGCTACAGATTTAGACCAACAAAAACAAAATGAAAAGCAAAGACAGGCTTATCAAACAGGCTCTGATTCTCTGAGCCTCTGTCTGCAAGGACTGCTCCCAAGCCCCAGACACTAGACATAGTAGAGAAGCTATTAAGTATTTCCCATCTTCAACAATAAGCTAACTTTACTATCAATTGTATTAGAAATATATGAAGTAATTATAAAATCAAATCATTTATAAACATTGGAATACATTTAGTTTGATGGTTGTATTTGGTCTGTGAGGAAGATTGTTTTGTTTTGTTTTGTTTTTGTCTTTCTGGTCTTGTTTTCCTATTTGTTGGTTTAAGACAATGTCTCTACCCCTAGTGAGTCTTAAACTTCTAACCATCTTGCCTTGAACTCCACACTCCACTTATACAGCGCTAGGGATCAAGATCCTATCTGATACTTTATGCATGTTAGGCAAGCACTCCACCAGCTAGGCTGCATTCCCCCAGCCCGTTAGCTTGTGCTATCTATACCCTAGGCACATTTCTTCTAGTTCCAAGTACTAAGATTTGACATCTTGTTTAAATGATATTTCCCCCTTACAATGTCATTTTCTGGTTAAAAAAAAAAAAATTACAAAGAATTATTGTTTTAGGTAGTAAAGCATGTGGGGAGGTACTAGGTTTGGCAAATAAAGTCTTCTTGAAGAAAAAAAAAAAATCAGTGTAATGGCCTGTGTCTATAATCCCAGAACTTGGCAGGATGAGTTCAAGGCCAGCCTGAGCTATATCTAGTGACTGCCAGGCCAACAACGGCTATAGAGTAAGATCTTGCCTCAGAAAAGAAAGTAGACAAGCAACGTAAATGAAAATAACCCTTTATCACTAGGCATTCTGTGGTGTACAAGAAAAACTCTTCAACTGACATGCATGGCCTAATTCCACAACCCCTGTTTGACCCACATTATACTGAAAGGAAAATGTACAGTATCCTATAAATTCTATAGTCCCCTGGGGATTTTTAAAAAGGCTCTTTAAAAATTGTTGTAAGTGTGTGTTTACTTTTAAGCCCATTTGATTGTCTCATTACAATGAACTACAAGTTAAAAACAATTCAAACAGCAATCCGTTCTACTTTGTGGGGGAGAAATGTAAGCCAGGGAATAAGAGAACCAAAGGGAATCCTGCACCCATCCTACTCCAGTCTTACTCCGCTGAAAAGCACCAAATTCAGACACACATAGAGTATTCCTCTGTTTTCAGAGTTGCTTACTATCTTACTTTTGTTTCCTTTTAAGGAAGAAGTGAACTGACTTTTTTTAAAATCTTGCATTTGTAAAATGAAATACTTCCAGATATACAAGTATGCTATAAAATGTGTGCATCTATCATTTAGTTAAACCAATATGTTTTTACTATGCAATTTATAAAGTAAATCAATAACAACCACTGCATGGAAAGAAATCTATTTTTTAATTAGCACTAGTAAGGTTCTATTTACTTAAGTGAAGAATGTGAATAATAAAAGGCTCAATCACTATCCTCAAAAAATAAATATCTTAATGATTTTTAAATGCACACCACTATCAATTTCTTTGTGTGCTTCTAAAGAACAAATCAAACACATTATAGTTTAGAAATTAAACAAGATGCCACAGATCACAAAATAACTATTCTATATTCAAACAAATTTAACATCATATAGGATTACAAAATGACCTTGAGACTTTGCTGTCCAACTACCCCTGCTGAAATTATCCATTTTTGACAGAGAAAACTCACTACACGGTGGATGTATCTGCCCCTCCAAGACCCAACTTGAAGCCTTTTATTTTACTTTATAGGTAGTACAGATGTTTATAAAGCAAAAACACTCAATGTGCACAAAGGGTCAAGAACACATCTTCAATTTTAATGCACTGCACAAGAGGAGTAAGAAAATGCCAAGACATACTCAAGTTTTAGCACACACTTTCAGAAACTGCACATGAGAAATTCAAGAAACTTAAACACCTTTTATTCAGGACGATTAATTTTTAAAACTAATTTCTAATACCCAATATATGCACCCCACAAATAACCATGTACAGTTAATATGTCCACCTCAATGCCCTCTGGTATTTTAATGAAAAATGTATACTTCTCCTGGTCATAAAAATCTGGTTTTAGATGTTTTAAAAGTTCAAACAGCTATTAAGCTACACTTTGCTTTGGCACTAGCTCCCCCTCCAGACCAACCTAAAATAACTGCATTTAAAAAAACAAACAAGAAACACAAATTTTTGTAACCCACTAGCAAATTTCAAAATTCATCACTGTTGAGGACATTGTTACTCCTTTAAAAAAAAAAAAGCTGGTTAGAATTTACTTTTTAAAAGACCATGTTATATAATCAGAATGCTTGTCTTGGTCTCAGTTCTATACACTTTAAATAAAACTGGTTTGTAGGAAAAACAACCTCAAATGACTTTAAATTTTAAAAACTCTTAAAATACAATCTGTAGTGTATCATATGTAAATTATGTTGAATCACTCTCCTAGTGGATCACAAGGCACCCTTCATATTAACTCACGATCTGATCAAAGACAGTTCTGCACGTTCCTGCAGTCTATGCAAGTCTCATTCCAGCTGTTCAGCTCTTCAACTCAAACAGAATTCTCCATTTACAGAACAGCAAACGGAAAACCCATGCCTTCCAACCACCCTGGTAGGCTCCTTATAGCCTATTCATCTCTCGTCCCCTACATTTTTAATCGGCCTGCAATTTCAAATGCTTGTATGGGCTAAAACACTGTAGTATTTATAATTAGGACTTCTTATTTCACGGGGACAGCAATGTACAGGACCGTATTATTGGCACAGACTTCTAGGGTGCCTTAAAGAACAGCAACACCTCACTCCTTTGCTTCAGTATACAATTTCTCTCCTAAAACACTTAATATATGATACACCCTTTAAAAGAAGTATGCATATAACATAGAAGTTTAATCAAAAAAATAAGCACTAAACCCCAAGAAGAGCAAAAAAAACTAAAATAAGACCTACTTAGAGTTTCTACGGAGCAAAGGCAAAGTCAGTGACTTGTGATAAATTTAACTCTCAAACTGATAAAACTTGCGTTGCATTTGTTCCCTGAAACCTTTAAGTTCGGAGTGACCTACGGGAGGGTCTAGTTTCCTGGGTTCACCTTGTGTTGTCTTAAAAGTAACGTGCAAAATCAGACACAAGCAGGAAAAACACCAATCTCCTTGCCTTTCTCAAAGGCCTCAATGTTTAAGGCAAAACGCTAAAAGCTTACCAGGGTGCTAAACCCTAACCATGACAATGCCATTTAACTTGAGAAATACGTCTCTGAAGATTGCAATGCCCACATCCAGAGAACAGGTGCTGCCAGGGAAAAAGCCCCTCAACTCCAGCAGGACAGACCTCGCTGAACTGATATGACTCATTTAACCTTCCCAAATAAGTTGAGACACTCCACGGCCGCCAGCTTGTCATTTGCAGATCAAAGGAAAGGGGGATAGCGAGGCACCCAAGCCATTAACTGCCCTGCCTCAGCCACTCGCCAGAGCGGATCTTTGTGCAGGTTCACCCCGATTCCCAGCCCCCGGAGTGCACACCGAACCCCCGCAAAGCAGAGGAACCCACCTTCCCACGGTCTGACCACCGGGACCCCGCTGCGGGGGGGGGGGGGAGCGGTAGGTGCAGAGATGCGCTGAGGGACACCTCCCACCCCGCCCCCATCCCTCGGGTCCCGGGGCTCAGGCCCCTGCCCCTGAGCGGGGATGCGCGGCGCGACGGCGCCCCTCACCCTTACCAGCGCCGAGGCACCGCCGGGGCATCTCGGGGGCTCCCTCCCCACTTTTCCCGGGGCCGCTGGATGAGCAGCAGCAGCAGCAGCAGTTGCAGCAACAGGCCTGGGATCGGCGGGAGGAGGAAGGAGCGCCCGGAGCCCCGGCTCCGCAGAGCCCGCGCCCGCCCCGTCCTGGAACCCGCGGCGCGCGGGGGCCCGGCTCCCTAACGCCCCCTTACCCGAGGCGGGAGCGAGGCGGTCGGCGCCGTCCCCCGTCGCCACAGCCACACTGCCTTCAAGCTGCAGCTGGCCGCGCCGGGAGAGTGGGAGGGGTGGCGGGGTGGAGGATGCTACTCCCGAGACCGAAGGGAGAGGAAGAAACGGAAACAGGAACCGCGGCCGCCGCTTAACGGAGCCTTCGGCGCCACTGACTGAGGGAAAGCGCAAGGCGGCGCGAGCCAGGCAGCGGCTGACAGCGCGAGACCGAGCGCGAGCCGGGTCCAGGGCGCGCGACCCCGAGCAGCGCCGGCCCCATTCCGGGAGGAAA